CCCCCTCCCCTGGGCGACCTTCTGTTGCACTCAATTCTTCAGAGAGTGCAGGTTGCGACGGCCATGAGTCTGGGTTGAGTATCCATGGTGGTCCCGTCCACCTAAGTGATTGACTTGGGAGTTGAGCAGTCGTGAGGCCTCGTGATGCGCAATCAGCCGGATTGGAAGTTCCAGGTATGTATCTCCAGTGAGCAGCTGGAGTGAGTTCTTCAATTCGAGCCACCCTGTTTCTGACAAAATCCTTCCAGCGTGATGCATGAGATCTGATCCATGAACCTTTCACAGAGGTGATCCATGAGAGTGTCGCTAGAGACTCCGTCCACATGTGAGTTGCCGTTACGTCCATGTTCAAAGTGGCTTTGACGTATTGCATGAGTCGAGAGAGCAGTAGAACAGCCGTGAGTTCAAGTCGCGGGATTGAGAGCCGCTTGAGAGGTGCTACCTTAGTCTTGGAGCACACAAGTGAGAACGTGGCGCCGTTTGAGTCGTGAACGGATATGTATATGACTGCAGCCATTGCCAATTGAGAAGCATCAGAGAATCCATGAAGTTCCACTTGCGAGTCGCTCCACGTGTTGAGCCACCGTGGTATTGAGAGCTTGGCCAAGCTTGTGAGTTCTTCTCTGATGATGAGCCACTGAGGGCTGGGATGGCAGTGGATCATCCCATTGGAGCTTGTGCAGCCACAGCTCCTGCAAGAGGATTTTGGCCTTGATCACGACAGGTGATGCAAAACCAAGTGGATCGAGTATCTGAGCCACTTCAGATAAGACGAGGCGTTTTGTGAGTCTGCCTTCCGAGCGAGAGCTTCGGGTTGAGAATGCAAAGGTATCTTCTTGAGGGAGCCATTTGAGTCCGAGTATCTTGGTTGCGCAATCGTCGAAGGTGATTTGTGAGCCTTGGTCTTCGCTGTCGGTGACTGTCTTGAGTATGTCGAGGTGAGTTGCATGCCATTTTGCCAGTGGGAAGCCGCCCGCCATGCATAGGTCCCTTAGTTGAGGTGCAACCTCCTGTAATTGTTGCACGGTATCTGCACCGCCAAATATGTCATCGACATATCTGCCGTGGGTGATAGCTGACACAGCCAGTGGGAAACTATGTCCTTCGTCTTCTGCTACTTGGAACAAGGTCCGTACGGCTGAGAATGGTACGATCTTCGTCCCGTAAGTTACCGTTGTTGAATGATATGGCACCTCATTGAGCTGATTGTCCATTCAGAGATCCGCTGTAACTCCCAGTCATGCTTGTGAATCTGAATCGGTCTGTCCATTTTGGTGATGTCCGTAGCGAACATGTGACGATGTCTACGTATCCATGGTAGAACCTCTGAGATGTTCAGATGTAATTTTGCTCCAGTGTACATGAGGTCGTTGACAGAGTAGCCTGATGTGGATGCGCTGGAGCCATTAAGAACCACCCGCAGTTTCGTTGTAATACTGTCCGGCTTGAGAACACCGTGATGTGTCAGGTGAAAATGTGAGCGATGACTGGGGATGGATGATGCCTTCGTCATGTGGTTGAGTGTCTCGTAATCAATCATGAATTGTTGATAGAGACGTTGATAATTCACATCCCTTGAGAATCGTCTGCGTAATCCCTTCAGACATTGATGAGCGACGTTGTAAGAATCACCCAAAAGATCGTCTGGTGAATTGAGTAGAATCCTGACGATGTACCTCTCTGAAGAATCACGACAGTGTGTAGTATTGAAGTGCTTCTCGCACCTCTGCTCGTTAGGAGTGAGCTGAGTGACATCGTGAGTAGGCACCTCCTCTTGATTCCAAAATTTCGTCAATAACTCATTAAGAGCATCCTCGTTGAATTGAGTAGCAGCATGATGCGTTGATGTGCGTGTTGCTTCTCTATTGACTGATCCAAGAACGAGCCATCCGAAAATGGAGAGTTGCGCTATCGGCATGAGTGGAGAATGCCTAAAGATATTGGGCTTGATGATTTGCCCGTATGCATCTGCGCCGATGAGGATGTCAACTGGCCGCGGGATGAGAAAGTCTGGATCGGCTAGTGCCAAGGTCCTGAGATGCGGCCATTCTTCCGGTTCCGCCTCGAAAGATGGTAAGATTGATGTAACTGTCCGGAGGACATGAGCTTGAATTGTGGCAGTTGCGTTGGAATGTGTCGAGCGCAACGTGAGCGACACGACTCCTCGTGTCCGAATACACTCCTTACCTGCAATTCCATTGACGACAATACCTGAGTATTGACGAGGGATGTTGAACTGCCGAATGAGATTCTCCGTGACGAAGGTGAGTTCGGATCCTGCGTCCATGAGTAGACGCGCTGAGCGATGAGTGGTGGATGAGCTGATCACTGCCACGGCTGTGGCGAGTAGAGTTGAGCAGGATGAGCGGACGTGTGAGCTGGTCTCGACGACTGCACCGTCTCTTCAATTTGCGGTCGTGACCAACAAACCACAGGTTGATTGAGCGGACGAAGCCGTCAGTGAGTGGCGGAGTACGCCGATGATGCGTCGCGCTTGCATGTGGCACAGCATTTTCTCCTGATGAGCGTTCCCCGAGAAATGCTCGTGATGAGTGAGCGCAGAGGGCCATGAGACCTCGAAGTAGGTGTGTTCCTTGAGAAACGCCTTGTGCGTCTCCTCAATTTGAAGCCAGAGCTGATTTACCTCTTCAATAGAAATCTCTGCAGGGGACTCCGGGAGAATTTCTGCGATGGCCTTGAGAGTAGAGATCCGACCCAGCTGCGTCTGCACCTTCAGGGCGAGTTCCGTGGAGAGCCGAACCGGAGACGCCGTCCTCGAGGATAAGCGATCTCCCGGCCGCAGTTCCAGTTGCTGAGTCACCGGGCGGTCCGCCTTGCCCGTTTTATGATCGTCCGACATGGTGAGATGACACGTGAGAGAGCCGTGGTATCGCATGATCGATGAATGTCACTGTGTATATGAGCGCCGAGCGGAGATAATGGAGTCTCTCCATGTTTGTGAGCTGCTCGTTCGAGATGATCAGACTTGAGAAGAGATCTCGGAAGGCAGGCCATGCGGCATACTCCCCGGTGAACTTGGGGAGAGAGATGTCCGGCAAGCGTGAGTCTGTCGGGTCTCGCCGGCCGATGAGAGTTGTCACGCGAGAGGATCGTGAGATCACGTGATCAATGAGTGGGACCGTGTGTGTGCGCGCCGCTGATCACGCGAAAGGGCCGTGAGATCACGTGGTCGCTAAGTGGGACCGTATCTTTGCGCGCCGCCGATCACGTGATCGCTGCGTGGTTGAGCTAATCCGAGAGCCTCGCCGCAATCCGGCTCGAAGGACCAAAAAATGTTCGCGATCTCGCGAGGAGAGTTCGCTGGTTACCGCTGCGGATGGAAGCAGGGTGAGAGGACTTTGCGGTAAGAGACTCAGGGAACGGATGCACGCGTGAGAGGGTGGAATATCACGTGATCGTAACTCGCATCGTTTGAGTAAAATATCGTGTCACAATTTAATAAGAGTAAAATGCTTACAGTTGAGCAGTTTATGAACTAGCGGTGGATGAAAAGTCTGAATTCACTTACGCGGTTCGATATTATTGATCGAGAGTCGGCCTCGTGAATGTAGATGCCCGTGAGCCGTGTCCATGCGGCGCCGGCGTGCGATGCGTGGTGAGCCTGAGCTGCCGGTGATGCTGTATCTAGAAATGTCCTGGATGATTCGCACTGCTGAGAGTTCACTACGTGTCCGCACTGAGTCAAATCTCGGATGAGAAAATGAGAAAGTCCACAAAGAGCACTTGATAACTATCCGCACTTCAAGACGCGTGTACTACGTACGGTCGCTATGAGACAAAGAGCCTCGGGAAGCGTACGTGAAGTCGCGCGGTCGCCTCGCGTCGCGATCGGGCATGCGCGAGCAGCGCTCATGCGACGCTGCACGATCTGACCCGGCTGATGCTGCCATCACGCCGGGGATAAAATAAACGAGATTCAAATTAATCTCGAACAATGATAAAACTTCTGTCATAGATTGTGAATTAATAGTTTATGCTGTAGATGAACTTATTGCTGAAACCTTAAAACGAGGTGATGAACGAAAAAAATTAATAATTGTATAATAAATAAAATTTTCATCCACTAACATTTTTTTCTTCTGCTTCCTACCCATACATATAAGATCGAGGCGAAGATGTACACGTTGGTATGGACATGTCGAGACTCGTTTGATCACGTCGAGACTCGTTTGAACACATCGAGAGAAGGAGAAATATTACGGTTCGTCTTGATGCGCGGATAGATTTTAAATCCTTTTAGCTAATCTTATAATCCCACATTTCAAAAGAGAAAACATGGTCAAGGGTCTGGGTCGAAAAAGGTAAATTCTGCTTCCTATCCATACATATAAGATCGAGATATGAATAAATTTAAAAATATGCTGTGGAAGGGAGAGTGCGCAAACGGAAAGAAGTATAGGATACGTATGGAAAAAGAAATTAATGCAATATTGATAGAAATATATTTATTTTGTAAAAAAACACAAGTTGTTGCATATTTTCCTCTAATGTTCCGGCGAAGGAGCTCGAAAGGATGGAATATCTAGAAAAAAATTACACTTTATAATATGTTCAGAGATATGTGAGATTTAAAAATCATAATAAAATATTCTTCCCGTCTTCGAAGCCGCTGTCCTCGTCATCCTCTGCTGGGTGAAATATTTCAACCACCCAATTCAAGTTAGCCACTTCTTCGAGACCGCGGATCCACCGTTCTTCGTCGTCGATCTGCTCCTCATCAGCGATCTCTTCCTCCACCTCTTCTTCTACGTCAATCACCTCCACGTCATTTTCATAATCTAGCCGTCGCCTCTCTATAAATTTAATATTTTAAATTTGTATAATATTTCTAATTTTAATTACAACTACTTACGTCTAGCTCTTTCCTCCACCTCCTCCCCCTCCTCCTCCCGAGCGCGTCTCAGGCGAGCTGGATCCAATGGTGGCAACGAACGTACATCACGTAGCAACATGTTCACTCGATAACGCCGTATGTTGCAAGGCAACCGATGCAGCGAAGAAACGAACTCTGACTAGTTTCTCAAAACACATTTTAAAATGATATCTATGTGAAAAGGATGGGGGTAAAATTTACCAATGGGTCGAAAAAAGGCAAAGAGGGGGTAAAAATATAATCCCACATTTCAAAAGAGAAAACATCCCGTGTGGAAATTTAAGCAGGGATCCGGTAGGTTTTCCTCAGTTATTATTAGAATCCGACTGGGAAAACGTCTCACTTTTAAAAAGGATTCCGGTCAGTAAAACTTAGATAGGAATTCGGCCGGATTTACTAGCCGGATTCCTTGTTGAAATACAATCTTTCAGCATCGATATAACCTGACAATCCTGACATGTGCAAATGCCTGATTTCCTAACGAGGAACTGACCGGAAATTCTTATATTTCTCTAATAATTCAGCAAAACCAAGTTCTAAGTTAGAAAAACAGATTGGAATCCTTTTGGTTTTCATTTCTTGGGGAAATCTCATCGGAATCCAATAATAAGTGGGGATAAGATGGAGAGATTTCCACACGGGATGGTCAAGGGTCTGGGTCGAAAAAAGGCAAAGAGGGGGTAAAAATATAATCCCACATTTCAAAAGAGAAAACATGGTCAAGGGTCTGGGTCGAAAAAGGCAAAGAGGGGGTAAGCTTATAATCCCACATTTCAAAGGAGAAAACATGGTCAAGGGTCATAAAGATAATATTTTGTGCGCAGACACGTTCAAAATCGAAGATCTGGTCGAAAAGACAAAGAGGGGGTAAAAAGTATATATATAGGTTAGCTTATAGTTCCACATTTCAAAGTCCGTCAGTCGAGTGAATCAGTTTCAACGAATGTGAAAAGAGTGACTTGGGAAATATGTGCGACAACATGGATCAAGATCTGGTGGCGCGAGTCGACGAGGTTGCTACCATGGGCGACTATTTCGCGTGGATTCTGCAATGCGACGAGTGCATCGCGAAACTCGAAGAACGTAGCCGTGCCAAGCGTCCAAGGCTGTCCATCGGCAATAGACAATCTCTGGTGGCGCAAATCGCGCGACTCGAGGGAGTAAAAAACTGGAACGACGATTCGTACATTTCGGTGGTGGCGATGATTACGCGAGTGTCGGACCTTCTTCGAGAGCGCAACTGTCGTGGCGCGAGATCGACACCGCGTTTGATAGTCGCGTGCTTACCGGTGTGGTGATTAACGTGGAGTACATCGAGCCGCGGAAATTTCTCGAGGACGCTCGCGATGTAGTGGTCGAGCACGTGCGAGACGCTATCGAGCGCCATAATTGTGTAAAGGTGAATACCGTGTTCAACGGGGAGTTTGTGGCGGGTGATAAACGTGCAAATAAAAGCATAAATACAAAAAACTATGAACTGTTTATTACAACGGACCTACAACTGTGGTACAAGTCGCGCGTAATCGATCCGATTCTAACCGAACTCGAAGAATTCCAGGAGCGTGATAGCGGGTGGGCGCTGTCGCGTATACACAACATAACTATTAATGTGAACAAGTGCAATCCTATGCGCGCGGGATGCCATATAGACGTGCCAGAAGTGGTGAAACGGAAGAAAGCAGTGATCAATGTACAATCAAAGGACAATGCGTGTTTCGCGTGGTCGGTGGTCGCTGCTCTGCATCCAGCTGAAAGGCATGTGAATCGGAAATCGTCGTATCCGCATTACAGCGATGTGTTAAACCTGCGAGACGTTCCAATGCCAATGACATTAAGTGGTATTAAAAAGTTTGAACGGTTGAACAGTATTTCCATCAATGTGTACAGCATCGATGAAAAGAACAATTGCGAACACACAATCGTACCGCTACGAGTTGCTGACGAGAAGAAGTGGAAGCACGTGAACCTAGTATACCTGCAAGATCAGGGGGGTGCTGAAGTGGGCCACTTCGTCTGGATAAAAAACTTCCCGCCTCGTCAGTTCACAATTGAGTGGTAACCATGGGAAAAAATACATTTGCGATCGGTGAGTATCAATAAAATTTATGAAAAATTGTTTTATTTGAAAAATATAAAACTTTTTTTCTTTCCAGATGTTTGCATTATTTCCATTCAAATGGAAAGTTGGAAGCCCACAGCGTGGACTGTCAACAGATAAATAACTGCGCGATCGTATGACCCAGCGAGAAGGACAAGTGGCTCAGCTTCAACAACCACAGCAGGAAGGAACGCGTGCCGTTTGTAGTGTACGCGGACCTTGAGTGCATCTTGATAAAGACTGATACCGATACCAAAGCATACCAGCACCACCAGGTATTTAGCATCGCGTACTACGTCCACTGCTCGTATGACGACTCGCTGTCAACGTACCGTTTCCGCCGCCACATTGATTGCATCGCGTGGTTCGCCAACCAACTAGAAGAATTGGCATATCGTGTACAGAATATTCTGTCGAGTAATGTTCCCATGCAAACACTTTCTAAAGAACAGTATGAGAAATTCCGTAGTGCCACGCACTGTCACATATGCGAGAAACCGTTCGCACAGGGTGACGATAGAGTACGCGACCATTGTCATCTAACCGGACGATATAGAGGCCCCGCGCATTCTAATTGTAACTTAAATTACAAAGATGCGTATTTCATTCCAATCGTTTTTCATAATTTATCCAGCAATGATGCACATTTCATAATTAAAGAAATCGCTACAGCGTTCGAGGGCACAGTTGATGTATTACCCATAACGAAGGAAACATACATTTCCTTTACAAAAAATGTAAAAAATACCATAGAAAACTCAAAGCGACAAAATTGTATAAAGCTGCGATTTATTGACTCATACAAATTTCTGAGTACTAGCCTCGATAGATTGGCATCGTTTCTCTATAGAGACCAATTAAAAATTTTACGATCTGAATTTTCAAAATTATCTAGCGACGATTTCGATCTATTGACGCGTAAAGGTGTGTTTCCATATGAATATGTGGATTGTGTGAACAAGCTGCAGGACCCGCGTCTACCTCCGTGCGAGTTATTTTTCAGTTCTCTGATCGGTGACACCGTATCAGAGAGCGATTACATGCATGCTTTGAATGTCTGGAAACGATTCTCCATCCAAACCCTAGGCGACTACAGCGATTTATATTTGAAAACCGATGTCTTGTTATTGGCAGACATTTTTGAAAATTTTCGCAATAGTAGCATCAACAGTTACGGATTAGATCCCGCGTATTATTATACATTACCAGGATTCACGTGGGACGCCATGCTGAAACACACGCGCGTAAATTTCGAGCTGCTCACAGACATCGACATGGTCATGTTTGTGGAACGCGGTATACGCGGTGGTTTGAGCCAGTGCTCGAACAGGTATGCTCGAGCCAATAACAAGTACATGCAGTCTTACGATCCATCGAAACCATCCTCGTACCTGATGTACTTTGATGTTAATAATTTGTATGGTTGGGCGATGTGTCAACCACTACCATATGCAAATTTTCGATGGATCGAAGATATTACGAATTTCGACGCGAGCGCAATCGCTGCGGACTCATCGACAGGTTACATTCTCGAGGTCGATCTCGAGTATCCGCAGCATCTTCACGACGCGCACATTGACCTACCGTTCTGTCCAACGCGCGATAAACCACCCGGCAAGCGGCAGGATAAACTTCTCGCGACAGTGTATGATAAGAAGCGTTACGTCATACACTATCGCAACCTGCAACAGTGCACGCGTCATGGGCTTAGCGTGTCAAAGATACACCGTGTATTGGAGTTTTCGCAATCTCCATGGCTCCGCGATTACATCGAGCTTAATACTCAGTTTAGAACACGTGCGACAAACGATTTCGAAAAAAAATTATACAAATTAATGAACAACGCGGTATTTGGCAAAACAATGGAAAATGTACGGAATCATGTCGACGTTAAACTTCTAACAAACTTCTAACAAAGTGGGATGGTCGTTACGGTGCGGAGGCAATGATTTCGAAACCAAATTTTCATAGTCGCAGCATCTTTTCAGAAAATTTACTCGCCGTGGAATTGCGAAAACTCGAAGTGAAATTCAACAAGCCAATCTACGTGGGTATGTGCATCCTCGACATATCCAAGATCTGCTTGTATGAATTTCACCATGAATATC